TTGAGGTAACTGGGACCCTTTCTCAGAAGCACCAGATACCCATATGAGATCTTGGGAAAGTACTGTTGCCATTCCATGGATCTGATTCTCCCATCTGGGGGCACAGTGGTCCTAGTCACAAACTCATTACAGCCACAGTTGTCTAATATGGCAGTCACTAGCCACATGTGGTTATTTACCATTGAATGTTATTTAGAATTCAATAAAATTAAACATTCACTTCCTCAAGATCATTAGCCACCTTCCAAGGGTTCAATGTCAACATGTGGTTATAGCTACTGCTGTCTCGGTAGGTATAGGATCCTTCTGGCACCTCTAGAAACTTCTGTCCCTTCTAGAACCTTCTATCGCTTCTAGAACCTTCCCATGGATGGCACTCCTGTAGAGAATCTACTGACAGCTAGGGAACCTCAACCTAAAAGAATTTTTCTTTCTTTTTAAGGGTTCTCAAACTTCCTTGGAGTCTACCCATGTGTTCCCATTTATGAATTCTTAGTTCATCATTCTCTCATGGAGAATTCCTTGTCATAAAGGAATCTGTATTCTCTTTGACAGACAGATTCCAAAAAAGCATTGATAAAACAAATTTTAATAAAAATATTTTCCTTTTAAACTGCATTAAAATAGAAATAAGTTTACATTTTCAGAAAGTATACTTAATTAAAGTGGAACTCCTCCCCCCTGCACACTTTATCTATCAGAGAATTTTGTATTTGTATTTGTTTATTTGTTTGCTAGTTTTTGTCCTAGCCCTTGACATTCTACCCCCCCCCCCAAAAAAAAACTCATGCAAACAAGAGACTGGGTTTCTTTAGGACACACAACTTGTCTCTTAATGATGCTGAACTTACCCAAACTTCTCTACAACTGTATTTTATGCTCAGAACTACCTTAGGAGAAAGCAGGGCTGAGTGCTAATAGTCCCATTTTACAGAAGAATTTGAAGCATAAAGCATTAGGCAGTTGTCTGCGATCTACTGGTCAGTTAATGGTGTAAGTTGTTCTAGCCCAACCTTTTGGAGTACGTTGGCCATGTGGATTATTTGGTTGTAAGCTGCCTGACATTTACTACTCTGCAGAGATTTGGTGGGCATACCCGAAATACTAGAAGTGGAACTGCTTTGAGGATGGGAGCATTATTTAATATTATTGTGTGTGGTTCTCACATCATCACCATATTTTATAGTGTTAGCATAATGTCTATCTGTGAAAGGTTTCTATTTTAATCTAGATGATTCTAAGGACTGATATGATGTCAATGTAACCTGACTTGAATTGGGACTTCATGGTGTTTTTTGATGTTGAAAAGAATTGCGTTGTTTAAAAAATGCCCAGAGATGTTGAAATTGTCATGGAGGAGGAAAAACAACTATGAATCTCTGTATTATCTCATTCTTGGATTCTATAGGATCCAGATCCTATTGGTTGTTTGACCTTGAGACTTTTAGAACTTTTTCAAGGTCAAACAACCAGTAGAATCTGGATCTTGTAGAATCCAAGAATAAGATAATATAGAGATTCACAGTTGTTTTTACTTGACTGGTGGCAGAAAGAAACCGGGCTGCTGGGGGAAGTTGAAATTTAGACGCAAGTGAAGCTAATGCTTTTCATACGTATTAGTTCTTTTCAATCCTGTTCCTTTGATAAATATCTTTTACTCATGTCTGGTGATAAAATAGATCAAGATCTTATATTTTACCATTTCTTTCCTTCTTCATGTAATAATTGCATGTTTTTATTCTTCCACTTTGTAGTCATAAGGCAAAGCACCATTTCCAAAATTTTGTGTCTGTTAGATATACTGATTTAATGCTGGTTTCTTATGAGTAAGTCGGCATGCAAGAAAGGAAATTGGTTTTTGTACAGATACTGTATACTGTGTGCTCTGTCCATCATTTCCTGGGTCAAGCAGAAAGCATTCTTTTCAACAAACATTTACTATGTCTGGGCTCCTTTTGCCGTTGTAGAAAAGCCTTGAATTCTAATGTTCATGAACTTTTCGGTATATATTAGGGAGATTTAGATACAAAGAAGAACTAGAAGATCGTGTAGCAGAGAGTTTTCTCTTTACAGCTGAGCAAAGGAAGGCAGGGAGGGTAGGTAAGTTATGTTTTTTTTTTTCTTTTTTGAGACAGAGTCTCACTATGTAGCCCTCAGTGAAGTGTTGTGGCATCACAGCTCACGGCAACCTCAAACTCTTGGGCTTAAGCAATTCTCTTGCCTCAGCCTCCCAGGTAGTTAGGACTACAGGCGTCCGCCACACCACCTGGCTATTTTTTGTTGCAGTTGTCATTGTTGTTTAGCTGGCCGGGGCTGGGCTCGAACCAACCAGCCTCAGTGTATGTGGCTGGTGTCATAACCACTGAGCATGGTGCCCAGCCATAAGTCACAGTTTTAAATGCTAGGTGACTAGATTCAGAACCAGGATTCGCAGGGATGTACAGCTCTCGTCTCTTGGGAAAACCTCCCAGGAGAAGCATTACTTCAAGGAACATGTAGAGATGGGCAGAGGCTGGTGAGATGAAACTGTAGAAGGGAATGGCTGTGCTGTTCTCCAGGCTCAGCCCATGGGGAGAGTCCCCTGTCTGGAAGCAGCAAGGCACATTCAAGGAACAGGGAAGTTGGAATATGAAAAATGGCTGGAAAAGAAAATGAAGATAGAGTTAGTCAGAGCCTTGAGACCTTGTTATAGGGGAGTGAAGGCTGTGAATAGAGTAACAGACTCCAGTGCAGACTGAGGAAGAAGAGAAAGGCTTGGACTATCATGCTTTGGAAGCATCACCCATCTGAGATTATCCCACAGAGGAGCGATTTAGCAGCTGGGGTTTGAGGTCAGACTCTGGAAGTTCAAATCTCACCTATGTAGGTAGGTAAGACTAACGTTGTTTAACTCCTCTGTGCTTGAGGATATGTTTGTAAGTGGGGGATAATAATGTTACCTGCCTCATAGGATTTTGTGAGAAATAAATGAGGATGTGTCTGGTACCAGGAATTCCTCTATAAAGCAGCTGTTCTCAACCTGTGGGTCACGACCCCTTTGTAACAATGAAAATACATCCTGCATATCAGATAGTTACATTACGATTCCCAATAGTAGCAAAATTACAGTTATGAAGTAGCAACGAAAATAACTTTATGGTTGGGTTCTAGCATAACATGAGGAACTGTATTAAAGGGTCAAGGCATTAGGAAGGTAGAGAACCACTGCTATAAAGGTTTTCTGTCCCAAATAGTAACAGTAATAGTAACAATAATTGATAATAGTACATGTTGTGCATAAGGTTGTGTGCAATTTACTATGTTAAACTGTTTCAAATTGCACACAAACTTTAGGTCCACCCTGTATAATAATATCAACTATCCTTTGAGCACTGCAAAGAGCCTTCATTTAAACCAAAGGTTTTTCTAGAAGTTTGACACAAACTTATTTGACAATGGATCCTGACCTAAACAGATGTCAGATTAATTATGGTCTTTATTCCATGTCGTGTGAATAGTTTTATGTTTTGCTGTGGGACATCATTGCTGTGTTTGATTCTGGGTTCGGTCCCCACACTGTGCTAAGAGTGTTACATAATGCATACATAGCCCTGGACTCTATTCGAAAATCCAGAAAATTCTTAATTCTAAACACTATGACCCCAAGAGTTTCTTATGAAGAGCTAGGAATCTGTTTTATCACCTTCCAACCCAGAATAATCCTTGGGATAGATATTTTCATTTCAAACTTGCTGCTGTAAAAACTGACATCAATAGTTTGAGTTAATTAAGTTGCACTGTTCATAAGAGATGGAGGTGGAAGTTTGATTTAGGGTTGTCTGACAATGCTTTAAAGAATCAGGCATATTGGTATGTTCGAAACTCTCCTATTTATTTTTTGCTTTTTTTTCCTTTGTTATGAGGCAGAGTCTCACTTTGTTGCCCTTGGTAGAGTGTCATGGCATCATAGCTCACAACAACCTCAAACTCCTGGGCTCAAGTGATTCTCTTGCCTCATCCTTCCACTCTCCTATTTCTTATTCACATTTTTTTAGCGTTTTGCATCATTTTAATATTTATTTTTTTCCAAAGAGTCAAAGTTTCTGTTTCCAGGAAATAGAGGTATTTTTCATAACCTGGTAATAGTGTTCTAGTACCCAGAGTTTTTATAAATGAGGGACTTATTTAATGATAATGTAGAAATGATAATTATCATTCCTATTTTAACGTTAGCTATGATTTACCAAGTACTTTCTGTGTGTCAAACATTTAGCAAAGTGTCTGGCATGTGTTACCTCATATAATCCTTGTATCAACCCAGGGAGGTAGGGATTATTATTCCCTGTTTTACCTGGGAGGACAAGGTGGGAGGAATGCTTGAGCTCAGGAGTTTAAGACAGTCTGAGCAAGAGTGAGACTCTGTCTCTACTAAAAATAGAAAAACTACTGGGGGCGGGGTGAGGTAGTGGCAGGCACGTGTAGTTCTGGCTACTTTGGAGGCAGAGGCAAGAGGATTGCTTGAGCCTAGTTCAAGGCTGCAATGGACTGTGGGCCTGGGCACTCTAGCCCCAGTGACAGCGAGACTTCCTCTCAACAAACAAGCAAACCCCCCCAACACTTTTGCATTTTTGAGGATGAAAACTTTTATATTGTAGCTTTAATTTGGATTTAATTATTAGGAAGGATGAGTGCATTTTTGAATGTTTATAAAATACTTGTGTTTATATTTTTAAAAACTTCCCCTCCATGACCTTTATCCATGCTTTCTTATTGGCATGCAAGCGCTCTTTACATATTAATAACATGAATCTTTGGTCTGTGTACTATGCTGCAGATACTTTTCTGAGCTTGTCACCTGTCATTTAATTCTCCATCTCTATATAAGCTATTAAAAAGTCATTAATTTGTATATCATTAAATATTTCAGTCTTGTCTTAGAGCCCACATGCCTAACCATAATGCTAAACTGTAATTTCTAGAACGATGACATTAATTCCAGTTTTGTTGTCCCTTTCGTTCAGGTGTGCTCACAGAACAAGTGGCAGGTCCTCTGGCACAGAATCTGGAAGTGGAACCGTACTCCCAATACAACAGTGTGCAGTTTCCCCAAGTTCAACCCCAGGTCTCCTCCTCATCCTATTATTCCAACCTGAGTTTCTACCCACAACAGCCTGAAGAGTGGTACTCTCCTGGGATTTACGAACTCCGGCGAATGCCCCCTGAAGCTCTCTACCAGGCAGAGACTGAGATCGCAGAGATACCTGTAACTAAGAAGCCCCGAATGGGCACATCGGCAGGGAGAATAAAAGGGGATGAGCTGTGTGTTGTTTGTGGAGACAGAGCTTCTGGATACCATTATAATGCACTGACCTGTGAGGGGTGCAAAGGTAAGCTGCTTCAAAGGGCCAACTTTCCCCCTTGTTAACGTTTTACTCTATTGTTCGTTGAAATCCTTTGAACCAGATACTTCCCTTTTCCCAGATTACTTTCCACTTTTCCTCCCTGGTTTCTACCTCCCACCTTCGCTGGGCCAACCCTGTTAGAGTACTTAGCTAAGACATGAGTAACCTTTTTTCTACTCACACCTGCATGCATAGTCAAAAGGAATTTATTAACTTTAATTATGTGTGGGTTCTGCTTGTTTTTGTTATTATTTTAAAGAGAAAAAGAGACTGTTGAACTCTTTTACAATGAAGTTCAAGAAGAAGAGAAATGGGCTCGGCGCCTATAGCTCAACCGGCTAAGGCGCCAGCCACGTACACCTAAGGTGGCGGGTTCGAATCCCCAGCCCGGACCCGCCAAACAACAATGATGGCTGCAACCAAAAAATAGCCGGGCGTTGTGGCGGGCGCCTGTGGTCCCAGCTACTTGGGAGGCGGAGGCAAGAGACTCGCTTGAGCCCAGGAGTTGGAGGTTGCTGTGAGCTGTAATGCCACGGCATTCTACCCAGGGGGACAGCTTGAGGCTCTGTCTCAAAAAAAAAAAAAAAAAAAAAAAGAAGAAGAGAAATGTATTTAATAGATATTTTTAAATATATTTTCATGTACTCCAGTTCATTGAGAAAGAGGTAGAGGAAGAAAACATAGGGAAAGAAAAGAAATAATAATAGTTTATACGCAGTGAATATTTTAATTAACAGGATCATAGAGCTGGGACAGATGCTACAGGGGAGTCATAAAGAAATTACAATTCATCGAGAATGGATAAAATGTAACACATGAAATATGAAAATGACTCCAGGCAAAGTCCGATGAGAGGACTCTTCCCATGTGGGCATAGATGACATGTTTGGAAAACCCCAGAGGAAAGAACACAACAGACTAATAGGTTTATCTATTTATTGTGGCATTTATTCATTCAACAAATATTTCTAGAACATTTACCTTGCTTTGGGCTCTCTGCTAGCTTCATAAGCTGAATCCGAACGGTCTCTTGAGCAGAGTCTGTTGTCTGATGTGCCAAATTGGACTTCCCAGATGCCAACGATTGCTACAAAAATAAACAGAGGACCTAGCCACATAAAAATGGCTCAAGGACACGTTAAATTTTTGAAAGTTCAAATAATCAGATTGTGTAAAACCATGCTTTGGTCACTTCTTAAAAACTGGGGGTGGTATTATGAGACTTTTTAAAATAAATAAGTACCAATATGCCAACTTTAAAAACTAAAACTGATCTGTAAGGAAATGTTAAAATATCTCATTTATGGCCTTTGAAATATCCTTGACCATTTTTTGAGAGTCAAGTTCGTATAAGTAAATGAACTTATAAATTCACTGAAGTCACAGATCAGGTCTTCTCTACCTCTGTTACTAACCATAGCACCTAGCACAGTGCCAGGTACATAGTAAGTATGGGACAAATGTCTTTTGAATGACATGATAAAAATCCATGTTCATTGATGGGACTTAGCCAATACATATAAAGCTCTATGTTATATGTCAAAAGTTTTACATACTTAATTCTCCAATTCCAAATGATAAAAAGTAAACATACCTTTGAACCCCTATATCAAGTGACAATCTTTTTTGACCTGGCAGAGTTATGGAGAGGGAGATCTGCTTATGTTACAGATGAAAAGGAAAAATGGGGGTTGGAATAAAGCGGGAAAGAATTGTTCATTGGCTGGAAAACCAAAATAGTTTCCAAATCACAAGCTTGATAGTTGGATTTAAATAACTAACAATAAAAGTAGGTCCAGGAACCAACTGCCAACCTACAGAAAAGGTGAACTAACTTTGTGTAGTGAAAAAGTGATGGAGGGCACAGAATCAGGACTGAAAGATGGAGCTTCTAGGGTGGCATGTTTGGGGGCTTAATTCAAGAACGAATTTTCCAACATTAACACAAATTGTTCCAACAATGAGATTGGCTTCCTGCCTCAGGTGATAATGAACTTATCATCATTTTAGGAATTCAGAAAGAAGACAGATGAATAGACTTGGGTCCTCAAATAAGAAATTTCTGTGTTCTATAGGAAATTAAATAAGCTGGCTCGAGGTCCTGCGAATGCTCTAAATCTGTAGTTCCATTTTTTATGATAGTCTAATTATTTCAGGTCTAAGTGTCTTGTCTTCTGACCAGATTTGTAAATGTCACAAATTGCAAAATGTCTATAATGGATGTAACCCCTCTTATTAAGATGAATTGATGAAGAGGAAAGATAGACTAGGGTTTCTAAACCTTGACACCATTGACAGTTTAGGCTGAATAAATTTTTGTTGTGACATTGCTATATGTCACCTGGGGGGCACAATCACCCCAGTTGAGAACCACTGAGGGAGACAATTCAGTTAAAAGTACCACTACAACATGGAGTTTCTCAAATTTGATTTATATACAGTGCTTTCTTGAAGGAAACTTACTTGGATGCCTATAATGTTGACCTAAATTGCTTTCATCAAATTACTGATGCTCTTTTCTGTACAACAACAACAACAACAAAAAAAAAAAGTTTAAAAAATCTACAAAATTCAATACTAAAAAAGCCTGCAAAACAAATAAAATAATCAGGTATATTAGATTGAGTGTTTTGTCACTCAAAATGTTACTAACTCCCAGTTCTTTTGAGTTCAGGATACCCACATGTCGTATGAAGCCTCAATTCTCCCTGTGTTTTTCTCTGTTTAAACAATTGATTCATCCAAACCTTGGTTCGTCCAGTACCCCATCTGTCCGTCCCTGAGCTGGGTACATCTTGTGCATATTAAGTTTACCTTTGCTATTTTCTCATAGCTCTTGACAAATAAATCATGCCTCTTGCAGTTAATAAGATCATGGGCATAAATAAAAATGAGGGTAATTAGTTTGAATGTCAGTATAAGATGGTCTTAAAGATAATCCAGACACTGCCATAAAATAAAATTGTAAGATTCAGCTTAACGTGGGTAAAGGGCCTAGAAAAAACTGTGACACATAGTCAAAACCCAGTAAATGACCGTTATTATTGTTATGGTCCTAAAATCTATTTACATAGAGTGTAGAGGCAATGTGACTGTTTTCTGCTTGTTTTGATGAATGCTGATGCCCAGCACATCATCAAGCATTTGGCAAGACATATTTGACATTGATTTAAATTACCAAAGCCACTTTGCTTTGTCTGTGTAGATCAGTGCTACTCAATCTGTAGTCCCTGGACAAGCAGTATCAGCATCAGTGGAAAATTTCTAGGAAATACAAACTTGGGGGGGGGGGGTGTTACCCCGGACCTACTGAATCAGAATTTCTGAGAATGGATGAGGCTTAAGAGTCATTGATTTTGCAAGCCCTCATGCTAAAATTTAAAAACTAGTCATGTAAATCATATCTAAAAGGCACCTGACAGCACTCATCAGGGCCAAGCAGGTTGGTTGTGTGTTGTGACTGTGAAACCAACAAGATGGGAACAGGAAATGCTGCTTTCCATGAAGTCATCAAAAGAATGACTCAATAGATAAAAATGTAGACCTGGAAAGACACAAAGCCTGATCAAGTCATGCTTCCTCCTTGGAGAAAGAGAAACATGACCATGCATAGTTTATTCTGAAAATCCAATTCGAAAGAAAAGTCTCAATACATATAGTTTCGAACCTACAAATTTCAGTGCCAGTGACATGCTAATTCTTTTTCTTTCTTTCTTTTTTTTTTTTTGAGACAGAGTCTTACTCTGTTGCCTAAGCTAGAGTGCCATTGCATCATCATAGCTCACAGCAACCTCAAACTCTTGGGCTCAAGCAATCCTCCTGCTTCAGCCTCTCAAGTAGATGAGCCTACAGGTACCCACCACAAAGCCTGGCTAGCTTTTCTATTTTTAGCAGAGACAGGGTCTCACTCTTGTTCAGGATGGTCTTAAACTCCTGAGCTCAAGCATTCTACCCACCTTGGCCTCCCAGAGTGCTAGAATTACAGGCAGGAGCCACTGCACCCAGCTATGGCATGCTAATTCTTAGGGTAGGCATTCTACAAACATTCTCTCAGGTTTTTATGACAACTGGGGAAAGTAGGTATTATTGTGCTTATTTTGTAGGTGAGGAATAAACACATTTCAAAAAGAAGCTGAGATTTAGAAAGGCCAGTCCCAATAGCTTAGGTGATATATTTACTATACTTTAGTAGTAAAGTTATTAATTCTCATACTGTATGCCCATTTTATTTTATTTATTTTTCTGGAACAGAGTCTCACTCTGTTGCCCAGGTTGGATGACAGTGGAACAATCAGAGCTCACTGCAGTCTTGAACTCCTGGGCTCAAGTGATCCTCCTGCCTCAGCCTCTTGAGTAGCTGGTACTACAGGCACATCCCACCATATCTGGCTAATTAAAAAAAAATTATTTTTGTAGAGTTGGGGTCTCACTCTGTTGTCCAGGCTGATCTCAAATTCCTGGCCTCAACTGATCCTTCTACCTCTGTCTCCCAAAGTGCTGGGATTATAGGTGTGAGCCACTGTGCCCAACCTTGTGTTTTTTAATTTGAGATAGACAACTAACAATTGTACATATTTATGGGGTACAACATGTTTTGATATGTGTATACATTGTATAATGACCAAATCAGGGTAATTAGCATACCTATTACCTTAAATACTTACCGTCTCTTTATAATGAGAATATTCAAAAACTTCTAGCTATTTTGAAATATACAATATATTATTACTAACTGTATTCACCCTACTCTGCAACAGAACATCAGAAATTACTCCTCCTATATAACTATAACTTGGTACCCATTGCCTAATCTGTCACTGTCCCTACCTCCCCTATATCCTTATCCTTTCATAACTGCCATTTTACACTCTGCTTCTATCAGAGCAACTTTTTAGATTCCACATATGAGTGAGATTATGCATTAATGATATTTGTGTTCCTGTGCTTGGCTTTTTTCACTTGCCATAATGTTCCCCAGGTTTGTC